GCTTGAAAAGTGGCGTTTTGACTCCTCACGTCATGAGAAATCATGCTCACGTTGTGAGTCCAGTCAGATTAGGGTTACTGACACGTGTCATGCTCTCAGACAGTTGTATCTTCGGAAGGTCATAACTTTTGCATAAGAGCTCTGTTTTTGACGTTCTTAATATCCACGCGTAGGTGGATACGTACTCTAAAAAATGCATTTAGACCCCTAAGGCTAAAAAGTACTTTATCGTAAACTCACTTTTAGGATTCCCGGTGTCGTTCCGGTTTTGTCGCGAAACTTCGACAGGTCATAACTTCTTCGTTATAACTCGAATTTCGGTGTTCTTTATATGTACGGAATCCTTGTGACATATACTATAATTTAGTTAAGATTATTTATTCTAAATAATATTCTATCAAAAAGTCATTTTTGACGATTATTGTCTCTAAATTGACTAGTCCGAATCTGCGGGGGTTACACTTTGTCAATTATTTATTCTTGTGTTTCATTTTGCATGTTTTATTCCTGACTAATTTGGTTATTCGAAGCTCCACATTCGTTCATACTTTAGGAAATAAGTAGTGAATGAAGACTGTCATGAATTGGTTTGTAGATTGTCTAAGGAGTTTAGACATGGGAATTATGTTGCTACAACATTCACGAGTACTTAGAAAATGGAGATTTCAGTATTGGATAAACACACGCTCAGAGAATTACTTCATGGATTATATCACGAGTAATTCTGAGACAATAGTATCTTATATTCTTAAAATGGAGATATATGAGTTGTAATTTACAAGTCGGTTGTACATTGGTATTACGTAAACACATCAATAACTTGATGTTATAAAACATAGTGTCATGTATGATTTAGTGAGTAAAGGATACAAACATATGAGTCAAAATTTATTCGTTCATTTTTCCCTAACAGGAAAAGCGATATCTTTTGGGCCCTTGGTGATTTGGTGTTGACTTATAGTGTTGGGCCTAGCCAAGACTAAATTGATGTGTTCATTTAGAAGTCTTAAGATGTCATCACAAATTAGGAAATCGGGAAACAGAATTTTGGACAATGAGATTGATTCTAATCCATGTCTCATGTCCATACAATGTCTTAAAGAACGGAGAAATATTTGATCACTTATCTAAAGGACAAGTATCTGATTAGATCATAGTTCGACGGTTGCTTTGGAAAGCACCCTTTGTTGTTTAATTTTGAAGTTATACATGTAATTTAGTTTTAGACTTATCCAAATAGGAGACTGTTGGATTAGGTGTCTAAGCCAATAACTGAATTAGTATAATCTTGAATTATTAGCAAAGTCCTTTTGGGTTGCCCTCAAACCTAGTAATTGACTGGATTGCATTTTGGAGAGAGAGATTGATTTATTAATTTATTATATGGTTAATAAATTAATTAGAAATCAAAATAAATAATTTATTAATGTATTATGAAAATAATATATTAATTATAAATAGTATTGTTTAACTAAAATTAATTAGAAATTAACTGGAATTAATTGGATTAATTAAAAGTGGAAGGACTAAAGGTGACAATGTTCAAAAGTTGAACATTGACCGATTCTAGAACCTCCCATAGGGGTGGACGGTTTCTAGATGGTTATTGGAGATTATCTTGGGCATTAAGGAAGCCTAGAAATCCTTAGGGAGCAAGAAAAATGATAAGGTTATCCAAGGAAATATGCCTTATCCTAGATCCTCTAGTCACCTATATAAATCCCTAATGGTTTACAATTTTTGGCCATCATAATTCCCAAGAGAATTCTGAAAAAATCCCTTCCTCCTCTTCTCTCCTCTTTAGCCTCCAACTTGCTAGGGTTTGGGTGTGAGCCATTAAAGGCACGAGACTTCTGGTGCTTGCTTTCTGAAGACCAACAATGAAGGATTGTTAGTTTATTTGTTATAATAAACTAATGTATGAACTTTTGTAATAACCCTTTCATATTTTCGAAAATAGCAATGTACTTTAGGGTTCTTGATATTTAATAGTTGTTTGCAAATCATAGTGAGAACATAGATTTTTTAGGCTGCATATGAACTTAGGGTTTATGTTTTTTCGCCAAAAATAGTTTTTTTTGTTACATATAAAACCCACCAGGTTTAACATGACCCGCCAAACTAATATATTATGTTTTCTAGGGATAGATTTCGATCACCTCGTAGGAAAATTCACACTATCCAAAATGAAGTCATCAATGAACTTCTGCATGTTATTCACCACGAATGCACCCGCCCCATCGACATTCCAAATCCAACTATATGTATCCTCCGTAAGCTGAACATTTTGAAGTATGTTTAACAAACTATTAAGCTGCTCCGATTCAGCCCCTCTCCTCACCTCCCTTCTCTAGTTCAAAATCCATGTGTTGTCAATATATGTGTCTTTCACAACACAATGCTTGTCATTTTCTAGATAAAAAAAAGTCTACGAAACCGGATTTTGAAGGGCACTCTACCAAACCACACATCATTCCAAAAGCCAGTACTATTATCGGGAACTGATTCATACACAACAAAATTTCTCGATACACAACAATTTATGTTTTAAAATGTTGTATTGTACAACTCTATTAAACATAAAATGTTGTATATGGAGAAAAAATGTTGTGTACGAATCACTTCCCTTACCATTACCAATAGATTTTTTTAATTGAGAAAAAATAATAATACACTTTATCGTTTAAACTCCATGTTGCGATGTTTGAGTGTTATCAATCTAAATCTATAATTAATTTGGTTGAAACATGATAAAGTCGACTAGGGTATGCAGCGAGTATAGAAGGAGAAAGAAATTTCAAATAAATAAATAAAATAAAATAAAATAAAAGTTAACTAGTTAACCAGCCTAAGTATTAGATTTTGAAGAAAATTGATCTCTAAAGAATGTTTTGTCATTCGCTAAATAAAAAAGTCTAAGAAATCGACTCTTGAAGGGCACAATACGAAACCACACATCATTCCAAAAGCTATTATAATTATTACCATTAGGGAACTGATATGTACACAAACAAAATTTTGTTCATGCACTACAATTTGTGTTTTAAAATTTTGTATTGTACTACTTTATTAAATATAAAATGTTATATACAAAGAAAAAGTGTTTTGTATGAATATCTTCTCTTACCATTACCAATAGATTTTTTTAAGTTAGAAAAACAATAATACCTTTATCGTTTAATCTCCATGTCATGACTTTTGAGTGTTATCAATCGAAAACTATAATCAAATTGATTGAAACTGAATAAAGTCAGCTAGGGTATGAATTCAGCAGGCATAGAAGGGGAGAGAAATTTCAAAAAATAAATAAGTAAATAAATAAAAGTTAACTAGTTAACTAGCCTAAGTATTAGATTTTGAAGAAAATTGATCTCTCCAGAATGTTTGTCATTCTCTAGATAAAAGAAAAGTCTATGAAACCGACTCTTGAAGGGCACACTACCAAACCACACATCATTCCAAAAGCTAGTACTATTATCATTAGGGAACTGATTCGTACTCAAACAAAATGTTGTCCATACATAACAATTTGTGTTTTAAAATGTTGTATTGTACAACTTTATTAAACATAAAATGTTGTGTACGGAGAAAAACTGTTGTGTACGAATTATTTCTCTTACCATTACCAACAAATTTTTTTAAGTCAGAAAAAACAATAATACATTTATCGTTTAAACTCCATGCCGCGACTTTTAAGTGTTATCAATCAAAAACTATAATTAATTTGGTTGAAACTGAATAAAGTCAACTAGGATATGAATTTAACGCATATAGTAGGGAAGATAAATTTCAAAAAAGTAAAAATAAATAAAAGGTTAACGAGTTAACTAGCCTAAGTATTAGATTTTGAAGAAAAATGATCTCTACATTTAAAAAAGTAATAGCATATATATATAAATTTTAGACATTGAAGCTCAAAAAGTATTTAGAAACCACAAAACTACAAAAATGGTCCCTATGGTTTTCGAAAATCTGAAGTTTAGTCCTTAATTTACAAAAACCAAACGGATCGTCTTTGTAGTTTCAAAACTTTTAACATATGGTCCTTTTCGCTAACTCTGTTAGCTTTTGGCCGTTAAGTAGGGGCATTTCTGTCTTTTCACTACCACAGGGACCATTTATGAAGTTTTCCATTATTTTTAAAAAAAGAAAAAAAACAATTATTTAATATTAAAGGTCTCTCTCTCTCTCTCTCTCTCTCTCTCTCTCTCTCTCTCTCTCTCGAACTTACGCTCTTAAAAAGACATCTTCAGGTCCTTTTCCAGACCCATAAGTGTGTCCAATGTGTGTGGGTGTGATGTTGAAAATCGAGTTGTGTTCAAGCCCATAAATCGAGATTTGAAAATCGGTCCCCATAAACGAGTTTGTTCTTGTTCTTGAAACAAAAACATGAAGATGAAGGGTCTATTCGTTAGAACCCAGAACATGAAAATCGTTAGAATCCAGATGAAGGTTTTGGCCATAGTTGTCACTCTTGTTCCCGCTTTGGTCCAATTGTAATTACCAGAATCGAATTTTTGAAGATTTACCTTCTTCTCGTTGAAAGGTTTCAAGGATTTAATGCTTGGTAAGTTGAAGAACTTGTCTTCAATCTCCAGCAATGATTCAAGAACGTCGTCGAACTGAGATTTTTAGAGACAAAAAACAGATTGATCGGACTCACCCAATCATCCAACCGTTGGATCCCGACATTAGAATCAGCCGACGAGGAACATTATAATCGGCCCACAAAAACAAACCTAGAATCACCGGTACCGACCACCACCACTCTCGCCGGAGAATCAGGATAGCGATAGAATAGATGGTCCCTAATTTTCTTTACAGTCTCGCTGGGGAAGACAGTATTGCCGCCACACCTGTGAAAACCTATAACTTAGGTAATCTGGAAATAGATAGAATCCCATAAACCCATATCAAATATATTCCTCACTCAAATCGATCTTCAAACTTGAAATCAGAAACCTTGTATCAAATCCCTCTCCAAGAAGTCAGACCAGAACATGAAATTAAATGAATCCAACAATGGTGGTGATGGCTCCCCTCCAGATTTTGAATCCCCAACTCAAATCGAATCCATAGCATCGCATCAACAATGGTGTGTGTTCATAGTCTCAGAGGCGACAGAGGAAGACTCGACACAGATTCCCCGATCCCACAAGGCGTACAAGCTTAAGCTGACTAAGATGAAGAATCCCGTCAGAGGAAAGGTTGGTGGCAGCTTTTATGGCGGACCAGTTAGCATCAGATTTCCAGTGAGGGCGAGAATGGACGTTAGGTACAGTAGTGGAAAGAAGTGGAGGCGGTGGCGGAGGAGAGACGAGTGGATTCCTTAAAGCTTAGACATAAGCTGAAACGAGCAAGACTCCGAAGAGAGAGAGAGAGAGAGAGAGAGAGAGAGAGAGAGAGATATGGGGTGGGACCCTTTGCATATTAAATTTTATTTATTTATTTATTTATTAAAAAAAATAATAGAAAACCTCATAAATGGTCACTGGGTAGTGAAATGACAAAAATGCCCTTTACTTAACGGGTAAATGGTAACGGGAGTGAGCCGAAAGGACCAAATGTTAAAAGTTTTGAAAGCACAGGGACGATCCGTGAGGTTTTGTAAATTAGGGACCAAACTTCAGATTTTGTGAAACCACAGTGACCATTTTTGAAGTTTTGTCATTTAGAAACATTTCATACTTTAATGTCGTTAAAATGTGTTGTTAATATGGCCATTTAACAAACTTTACAAAATAAAAAGTCACTTTCATCTCTAAAGTTTAATTTATATCATCATCTAAAATTATTGTCATCTCATTATTTCAATAATTTTAAGATATAATTAAATAAACTCTTCCAATACTTTTTTCTTTCATTTTACCTATTCTATCTTTATTTATTTAAAATGTTTTATAAAATTTCCTCCATTTAATTAGTCATTTTTTAAACACACATTATATTGTATAGACATTAAATGCCACAAATAAACGAAAATAAAAATAAAAATATATCGGGTCTCTAATTTATAATTTATAAACGTAAAATACGGAAAAATTAATTATGTCAGTTATAAAAAAGATTGAAAATATTTTATAGTTGTTATAGATTTATATTTCATAAATAAAATGTCATTAAATATTTAATAGAAATAATTAATTAGTAAATAAAAACTAAAATATAATTAAAAGTAAAAAAAAATAGAATTAAAAGATGAGGAGGTTAAAATATATTAAACAAGAAAGTATATTGATAATCATTTAATATATATTGAATGATCAATAGAAAAAAAAAACGATTAAACTCTTATCAACTCTAATAATAATAAGTTATAAAATAAATAAAACAAATATAATAATCTCATAAAAAGATATAGAGGACATATTTACCACAAAAGATAAGTTAAAAGAAAAATAAAACGATTTAAAAAATATATAATAATGCAATCTGTTAGGCTTACAAAATTGATATATAATTATCAAATAGTTCATAACTATCACGATTCATATCTACACCTGGCAATGGGGCGGGTTTGGAGCGAATTGACCTTGATCCAAACCCGTTTAACATATTTCAAGTTCCGATCCAAACCCGCTCCGTAACCCGCAGGGTTTTGAATAATCAAACTCATACCCTTATTTGTCGAATCAACAGATATCCAAATCCGCCCTGTAACCCGTAAGTTTTTTGAATAATCAAACACATTTTACTTAAACCTCAAAATAACATTTATTAAATAAAACAAATGTTGATTTAAATAACACGTTATGACAGACTTTCAATTGTAATTAAAATCATTTTCATAGTAACTTCCGATTGATAAATGACTGTTCGGTTGATAAAATATAAAAGAAATGACATCTTTTTTTTGCCAGAATGCTGAAATTATAGAATTTGAGTCCTCGATTCCTATGTAAAAACAGTTTAGTCTTTGATCTTTTTTCTTTGGACTTTCGATTAGAATTAAAAGTAAACTTTAGGTTGTATAAAATATAAATTTATAATTTTAAAATTTATACGGGGCGGGTTATAAACGGAGCGGATCAGTGATGATCCATACCCGACCCTTTTAATAAAAGGGTTAGCGGGTACGGGTCGTTAACGGGTAAACGGATCAAAAACTATGCTCCAAACCCATATAATTATTAAGGGTGTGGATCGGATCAGGGTCAAAACCCGCTCCATTGCCAGGCCTATCATATCGATACCGGTGGATTTGGGGAATAAACGTGGGTAGTGACTAATCGGTTCTTAATTTCTTATAGTTAATAAGTGATACATACTTTTGAGAACGTAGTAGAAGGAACTTTTTTTGTTATAAACTTATTGAAATATTAATATGAATAGTTTTTTAAAAAGTTAGTTTTAATATATTATATATTGCTTATTTGCTTTGGTCACATGATATTCAATTGTACAAAATTGAAAAGTTTTATGTTCAAATCTCACAAACTAGTACATTGGTTTGGGGTAGCTGGTTGTTCAAAAACAAATTACAAACGAAAATATTTAACGACAATAAATTATTTCTATACGTAGTATTTACCAATCCTATTTCTTTCAAATTATTTTGATTTTAACGTTTAAATAATTCAGTATGTAAGATTCCTTTGTATGTTAAACCCTATACTGTCGACTCATTGATCTTATATGAAAAAAGGACATAAAATATGTTTATTTTCTAAAACCGCCATAAGAGTTGGTTAAAAAGCTTTTTTCTTTCTTTTTCTCGAACTTATATAATAATAAAATAAAATAAAATTTTGTTGGATATGGTAAGTGGCAAGATTCTAAATACCCAACTTGTGTATAATAATATGTCAAGTGTTAACTAGTTGATGGTTATAATTATTTATATAATCTTTTAAGCATCATTTTTGTTAAACAATTGATATATTTTAGGTGGGGGTTGCAAAAAGCTTATTTAAGTTGCCATTTTTATAAGATTGCGGTATGCTACAATTACCGATTGATACTATTTTTGTATAGTTTTATAGTATTTTAAAAGGTTTATCAGAAATGATATATAAAAATAGTGAAGTCGTAAAAACCAGTAAAAAAATCCTTCATTGAACCGCTTTGAATTAACTTTTTTAAAAAATATATATGTAACAAAATAATGTGTAATTAAAACTTGTATTCTCTAGTTAATATGAGATTAAAGCTGCATTTCGTATACAAGCTGAAAAACTAGCTGTTAAATAAAAAATATATACCACTTTTATTGTGATCCAAATTCATTTATAAGGTTTTGACTCCATTTTAAAATATATATAATATCGAATAAGATTAATCTTTTTTAAAAGTTAACATTACACATGTTAAAAATAACATGAATCTCCTTCCTCTCCCTCGATCTTCTAGTAAAAATAATAAAAATCCAATTTGATTGGTGGCAACGAATACACCACCCACCGTAACATTGGAAGGTACACCCGTGACAACACCAATTGCGAATTGCTATGCTTTGCTACTTATTTTTTCCAACAAGACCCACGGATTCTCTACTAGACCTACCAATTTGCCCCCACTTCTAGGATTCCCTTTCAAGTTAAACTACCTAAACATACAATTAATTATTTATTTAATATTAAAAATATAATAAAGAATTTATAGCTTTCTAGGTATATTATTCATTATATATTCTTAAAGTTGATAAAAACTGACATGACACGTTAACACGATATAAACCCAACATAAAATAAATATATTTGGGTATAAGATTTCAACCTGTTTAAGTAAACGGATTGACAAGACACCTACACAAAAATTAAAAAAGTAAGGTTTGGGTAAACCTTTGAACCTGATCCGACAACACTATGTTTCCAATGTCTTAACCCTAAACCTGATAGATAGGTTTGGGTAAGGGATTTTAACACATTTAAGGAACAGGTTAACACAATACCACATGAAAATTAAACGGGTAAGTTTATGGTTAGATGTCTTTCAACCTAACACGACATGATATATTTACCAAATATACATATTTCGGTCATTCTATGAGCTTAATAAGCTATAATTGTTATAATCTAGTTTCAAACAGCTTCAAATTGTTTTATTGCTTTCTAAAACAAAGCAATCCCTACAAATAAAGTTTATTTTGTTAATAAGAAGTATCCATATGCTAATAAAAGAATATGTTTATTTTTTTGTTATGTATCATCCTATTAGATCTCCTAATTAATTTAATATAACTTGTCAACCTATTGATTCTCCGTTTCAAATTTCAAATTTTAAATTTTCTACTCTAATTATATTAAATTAATAATAACATCAGAATAAAAATTAAAATAAAATTAATACAAATTATAATATGATATAATTTCAGGTATTTACTTAAATCAATGACTATAATTTTATAAAACTAAAAAAATATCTCTTAATTAATAATTTATTTAAAATAATTGATTAATAATTTTGAGTTTTTACAATGAAAGATTAATTAATTTTGTAACTGTGATTTTCACGGGTTATAAACTAATACGTAATATGATAAATGTACTTATTTACAAGATACATAAAAGAATTAGGTAAGAGTTTCATATATTATTAAAGGAAGATAGTTGCTTTACATAAAAAATAAAAGAAAACACCACCATCTTCCTTAAAGATTTGGATTTATTAAACAAACCTTTTAACTATTGGACCATCAAATTCAAGAAATTGTCCCTTTAAGTTGAACTGTTTGAAAACATTCGTTTATATAGTAACTAAGCAAACTTCCAAAAGTTCCCAACTTAAAAGTATTTTATTCTTTGTTTGACCATACTTTACAATGTTCTTGGAGGGTTTAGCCGTTGAGCTATTGTCACAAAAAATAATAGTTGCTTCTTCTTGTTCTAATCGAACTTTCCCAACACCTTTCCTTAACCATATTACTTGCATTAACATACATAATGCTACAAGCTCCCGTAATGAGAGCCTACCAAGTAGCAATTGAGGCACTAAATTTCTATCAAAGGTTTAGGGTACAAAACCCAACATGGCTCCATTATTTACCTCCCACATGATGACCTGTGAGGTGAGTTTAGCATGAAACGTCAACAGGATACACTTCATTTTTTTTGATGTGATCCACCAATAATAAATTCACCTCGAATACTATTTAGACTAATAGAGGTGGACAAAAGAAATGTTTATATGATTTGGATCCGGATCCAGCCAAGGGTCTTAAAATGGTCCTAAAACGTCCAAGTTATATCAGTTAAGGGACTGGTTAATAATAGGTGGACTCGTGAACAATTTTATCTTTTATTTATTGTATTTAATTATTTATCGATTAAAATGCCTTTTCTTGGGACCAATTACTCTAGACCTAGATTATATTTTGTTTTAAAAGAAATTTTGCATAGTAGAATTTTTTTTGCAAATTAGTTGAAGTAGTAGTATTTTATTGGTATTAAAGAAAAGTATAAATAACAAAAAAAAATGTGTTTATTACCATTTTGAGAAAAACTTGATGGGGGCGGGTCTTGTGGAATCAAGTGTTTATCAACCTTAAATCAAGATGAAATCAAATTTTATGATTTGAAACCTGGTTTTTCTATGATATTGTTGAAATTTTTGGAAGAGAATGGCAATTGAAGGATGTGAATCAGTAAGAAAACAAATAAGAATGTTTATACGTTGTTTTGTAAGAAATTTTGCAAGAGTAAGCATGTTGTGGATTTAATCATTTATCTGATTTTTTGTGAATTTAATTTATAGGTGCTACTTGTTAAGGTTGTGTTTGGTGCGGATAAATTAACTTATTTTTTGAGTTTATTACAATTTAGTGATTGGTGATGCCACAAAAGTAACTTATAGTAGCTTATAAATTATTTTTTTTAATAAACTACTTGAAATAACTTATTAATAAGGTAATTTATAATCTAAAAGCTAGCTTAAGCCTTTTGTACTTACTGATTAGTTGTGGTGTATACTTTCATGTAGTGGCAAAGTTTGACTTTAATTTATTGCTTTTGGACGAGACAGTATGCATGTATAGTTGGGGCAAATTTACATGGACATAAGGTGTCCATGGACACCTTTTATTTTCAGGAAAAAAAAACTTTTCAGAAGCTCCAACCGGTTGAAAGTTGTACTCAATATGCTCTATATCACTTTCTATTTATTATTAAACAAATAACTCAATTTTTAGAGGAAAAGGGGCAAATTTATATAATAATATTAATAATAATAATAATATCTACTTAGGCTGGAGGGAGTGGTGTCAAAAGAACCGCATTCTCTCCTCTGTCACATAGACGCCACATAAGTGTCATGTCAATTTTACCACACAAAGTATGGTTCTTTGCCACATACTAGTTGTGGTATACCAAAGGAGGAGAAGAGAGAGAAACAATTGAAGAGGGAAGATAGAGAGTAGGAGGAATGCGACACTATTTGGGTGAAGAGAGAGAAAGTACGGTTTTCTTACCACAGGGAAGGGACTGTGTTTTGGGTGATGATGTGGCAAAACCGCGGGTGAAACCGCACCCACTCCCCCTGGTCTTACAAGTTATTTTATTTAACTTGCATGTTAACTACTTGAATCACTACAAAATTGATGTATTTGATCCAAACACAATGGTACTTGTTTCAAAAGCTCATCAATCTGCTTTAAAAAAGTAAACACAATGGTACTTGTTTCTCATTGTTGCGATGACTTCGTTGTACCAAAATAAGTATTTTCAAACATTTAAAGTAGATGAATTATCCAAAATAACCCAATTTTTATCAGGGTGTACTGAGTAGTCTCATTTTTTTTGTTTTTGGGTTGAAGGTATTAGGGATACCTCTAAGATCAAAACGCCTTCCAACACCTTCATATGAGGTACCACTAATCGGCTTAATTGAACGGGTTGCTCTCTCTCTCTCTCTCTCTCTCTCT